AATATCATCCCTGCCAACCCCTCCCCACCCTCCTCCACCCCTGCCGTTACCTCGTTCCGCTCCTCCTCCCACTCCTCCTCCTCTCCCTGAGCCTCTTCCCAAGCCTCTCCCCAAGCCTCTTCCCAAGCCTCTCACCAAGCCTCTCCCCAAGCCTCTCCCCAAGCCTCTCGTCAACCCTCTCCCAGCACCGCACCTCCTACCTCCCCTACCATTCTTCTCCAGACTCCCTCCTTCCCCATCACACCCCAACGAACTCACAAGCCTCCCCTTCGCTCCACGCGGCAGCATCTTCTTTACACTCCCACCCTGCCTCAGCCTGCTGCTTCTATACCTAACCGCAGCCGCCCTTCTTCCTTGCTGCAATTTGATATTGAATCTTTTGGATAGAGGCACATCCTCTCCCTCATCCCCACTGTCACTCAGAGCGAAGTAGTTACCCTTTGCCCATCCCTCTCCATCTTTTCCCTCCTCCTGTGCTGCCGCTGCTGCTGTGGCTGCTCTATGCTTGCTCCTAGGTAAGGAATCAACTCCCAGTGTCGCATTTTCATCTCCACCTCCACTCTCACTGTCGCTCAACTTCCAGTATTCAACTGTCCTCCTCCCTTGGCCCTCGCCCTCCTCTTCTCTTCTTCCTCCTTCTCCTCTTCGTTCTCCCCCTCCTTCCTCATATTCCTCCTCTGCTACCTCCTCACTCCCTTCCTCCTCCTCCTCGTCTCCCTCTTCTTCCTCCTCCTCTGCTTCTGCTCCTTCTCCCATCATTCCCTCTCCCTCTCCCTCCCCATCCCCATCCCCATCCCCCTCCCCCTCCCCCCTTCCCCTCCCCCCTCCCCCTCCACCTCCTCCTCCTCATCTCCCAACATACCCAGCTCTATCCCACACAGCCATCTCTCTCTGAGAGAGCCCCAGTCATCAGGAGCCTTCCCCCACGTCGATCATCAACCGCTCCCGATCGCGCATCACCGAGTGATAGTCTTTGAAATACCACGCAGGGGAATAGGTGTTGTCCATGTCTAGGACACGCTGCAAGAGGCACAGGCGCACACAGACACAGAAGGAGGAAAAGTGGCATAGTTTTGAGCCGTGCTGAGTTATCACCACCACCTTCACATAGCATGCGACACCTTCCGGTGGGGATAGGAGCGGAGCGCTTGACACCTCGCCTCAGCATCAAAGCATCTCAAAACAGCATTCAAGAAAGAAAGAGTACTCACGCCAGTCGGGGTCCTCTTGATGCTGTGCTGAATCATCGCCACCTTCACATAGCATGTGCCGCACAGCTCACCTCACCTGGGTAGGATAGGAACTGACACAGGGTGGGGTTGACAAGACAGCACTACTCACGCCAGTGGGAGTCCTCTCGATGCGTGCTGAATCATCGCCACCTTCACATAGCATGCGCCGCACAGCCCCAGAACCTTCCGGCCTCCTTCCTCCAGCTGTTCCAGCCTCCACCCCACACTCCCTTCCCTCCTCTCCTCGCCTTCCCTGCCCCACCAGATACTCCCCCCTCTGACAACCCCTTCTCATCCGCATTCCTCCCCACATTCTCCTCGTCGGCATCCTCACCTCCCCTCTCCTTTGCACTCTCTTGCCCCCTTTCCCCCTCTGGTTCCTCCTCCACACCTTCCTCTTCTGTTCCATTCTCCTCTTCTGTTCCACTCTCTCTCCCCGCTTACGCCCCCTCTCCCTTCCACCCTCCCCATCCTCCCTCGCTCCTTCCTCCCTTTACCATCCCCACTCTCCCCCCCCATCCCCTTTTCCCTCGCTTCCTCATCATTCCCATCCTGCATTTGTTTAGGCACCTCTACAATCAATCCAACCCCACTCCCACCCTCCACCTCGTTCCCCCTCGCCTCCTCCTTCCCATCAAGCCTTTCCGCACCAGCAATCCCACTCCCCTCCCAGCTTCTTCTCCTGCCCTTCCCTCCCTCCGCGCCCGAAACCCTGCCCCACGCGAGTCGGGCAGCGAATTGAGCTGCCCGGGAAAGTTTCAAGGTCCAGATACTTTTCACTCGGGCAGAAGAAGCAGGGTCCATCCAGACATGGCGGTGCAGGAAGCGGAGGCAACGCCAGCAGAGGGAGGTGGGGCAGAGGAGGCAGAGGAAGAGGGAGGAGCGACGACAGGCACGGGAGCAGGAGTGCCACACTGTGTGCGGGGAGACAGGGTGGGAAGGGTAAAGTGGGAAGGGAGCGCACAGTGAGTGAAAGAAAGACAAAAGGTGAGCAAAATATACCAAGGAAGAGGGAGGAGTGACGGCAGGCACGGGAGGAGGTGTGGCACACTGACTGACACAAATACTGACTGAGGGTAAGTGGTACATTGATTGAAGGTATGTGTCTATATTGGTATGACTTTTGAGAATTCTCTTTTGAGATTTTTGAGAATTCTCAAAAGTCATACCAATAATACTGACACAAATACTGACTGAGGGTAAGTGGTACATTGATTGAAGGTATGTGTCTATGTTGGTATTGTTTACAGCTATAACGTTATGCGGGAAGCGATTGGAGCTTGAACTACAAACTTTGCTTGGCAACACTTGGCAACACTTAACATCACTTGCAGCCCTTCGAGTTGTGACAGCTTGTCACCTCCTAGCCAAGGGCGTAGAAAATAGCAAGTGAGTAGTTATGCCTTGCTCAGCTTGTAGGACGAGCAAACTGGTCGAGAAGAATTTCGGCAGCACCAAGGTAATATTTCTACTCTCGTCAATACGAAGTAGTAGAATGCGATCTTGAAAAACGTGAATGCATTGGATTGATTTCGACAGGTACAAGCACACATTTATATGGATTCTACGCACAGGCAGGAGCAACTAGAAAACAGTTGTTTAACTGGCTCGCAGGATTTCGCCACGCTGTATCTTGAAAACAGTTGCACAACTCCTTGAACATTTGGCTATATCCTCCTGTTGTTAAAAACTGTCTTCAAATTGCACTTGTAACAATCGCCCCTGCTGACTCAAATGTGTACACTCATGAGACTCGCATGTTGCTCCAATGTAGCTCAAATGTCTTCATGCGAGCTCACAGTTGTATAACGGTTTTTACCGCTTGAAAAACGGAGTAACCGATTTGCATCTGTGTCGAAATGATTCCCCAAAGCGAAATGACTTTCACGAGAAATTTCCCGTCCCGTGAGTCAACTCGGAAAACAGTTTTTCAACTGTAAATTCCGAGCACCCCTCGTGCCACGCGCACGACCGAGATTTTTTCTCGGTCGTGCTGTACAGCGCGCCATGATCGAAATCACGCGCGTGCACAGTACGGGACAGGGCCGAAATGGGCCCTGTCTTGTTGCGATCGTGCTGTATAGCACGCTCGCAACGGTACACGGCACACGCACGTGCCCTGTGGTCCCACACGCGCGTACATTGACCCACGATCGGGTCTTGACTTTCACGCTTTTTGACCAGCGCGAGAAAAGTCAAGGCACCTCTTGACCAGTCAAAGAACTGAGCACCCCTCGGTACACCACCCGCTCACATGAGGCTCCAATAAGTCTCGCATGAAAATTCGAGACTCATGGGACTTTCATGGTCGCTCGCACGAGCCTCGCGTGAAACATTTAAGTCCCATGCGAGCTTCGTTTGAGCTCCATAAGGTCTTCATTTGAGCCTCATTTGAGAGCTTCGCATGAGTCTCATTTGAGAGCTTCGCACGAGTCTCATTTGAGCGCGTCATGAGGGCCTCATTTGAGCGCTTCATGGAGCTTCATGAGAACAGTGAAAACGAAACTGAAAATGCAAAAACACAAAATGCACTTATGAATGAAAACGAGACACACAAAACGCTAGAACAAATGTGCACAGAACGTTCACAAATGAAAATGAAAAATGCACACACACACAAATGTGCAAAATGCGACGCAGGCGGCTGGTTGACGTGCAAAAATAAATATTTGCACCCAACAGGTATGACTTTTGAGAACTCTCTTTTGAGATTTTTTAGAATTCTCAAAAGTCATACCAATAATACTGACTCAAATACTGACTGAGGGTAGGTGGTACATTGATTGAAGGTATGTGTCTATATTGGTATGACTGTTGAGAATTCTCTTTTGAGATTTTTGAGAATTCTCAAAAGTCATACCAATAATACTGACACAAATACTGACTGAGGGTAAGTGGTACATTGATTGAATGTATGTGTCTATATTGGTATGACTTTTGAGAATTCTCTTTTGAGATTTTTGAGAATTCTCAAAAGTCATACCAATAATACTGACTCAAATACTGACTGAGGGTAAGTGGTACATTGATTGAAGGTATGTGTCTATGTTGGTATGACTTTTGAGAATTCTCTTTTGAGATTTTTGAGAATTCTCAAAAGTCATACCAATAATACTGACTCAAATACTGACTGAGGGTAAGTGGTACATTGACTGAAGGGTATGTGTCTATTTTTGTGTCGACTCAAAAAGACGGGGGGGGGGGGGGGGGAGGGGGGTGGCAGGCATGGGAGGAGGTGTGGCACACTGACTACTGAATGGCATGTGCCTGCCACACTGATTATGCAGCCTCCGTTACACCACTCACCACAAGTCCAAGGGGCAGAAGACTCGGAAAACCTTTTCGGGCAGCCCGGTGCACTCTGGATGGTACGCCTTGGGGCAGCCTCTGAAATATCAAAGTGAAAAAAAAGAAAATTTCAGAGAAGTAGGGAGGTCTGTACACCGCCAACAACAGGGTATGATGGATTACTAGCACTCCCCCTCGCCCCGCCCCTCATCCCTCTTATCATCCCACCCACTCACCTCTTATCACATGCCACCAGGTCACCGCCATCGTAGCACACAAAGCAGTAATCCTCACACTGCATATCTCCTCCCCCACCTCCTCCTCCTCCCCCCTTCCTTCACCCCCTCACCCGCCACTCCCTTCCCCTCCACCACTCCTCCTCCTCTCTCCTCCTCCCTCCTGCCACTGCTCCCTGTGACAACAACTCCACAGCAGTCTGTAAGTGCCTTTTTCGAGCATCCCCAGCATTTTCTTGTGACGATGGCGACGCTACAGCACTCTGCGCTTGCCATGCGGCCCCCAGAGCAGCCTGTGCTTGCCGAGAAGAGATAGCAGTTGCTGCCTGCTCTGCTGTCTTGCACGCATCATGCAGGAGCCGGTTTAGCTCCTTGGAAAGCCTAGGAGCCTTTGGAGGAGCGACTGTTTCTTGAGCCTTGACAGGTGTTGTGTGGAAAACTGGATGTTGTGGCGCTTCAAAAGTCGTGTGGGAGGCTACCGCTGCAGCTTCAGGAGCTGTCTTGCAGGTGTCATGATCCGCTGCTTCTCCCTCCCCTCCTCCCTTCTCTAATCCCTTCCCTCCTTCTTGCCATCCTTCTCCTCCTCCTCCTTCTCCTCCTCCTCCCCCTGCTTGCTCAGCTGCCGCTGCTTTCTCCGCTTCACCGTCCTGCTGCCCTCCTGTTCCTCCGTGCGTTGTTGAACCTCCCTTCCCTCCTGAACCTCCTTGCCTTCCGTTACTTCCTGCCCTGCCATCCCGCTGCTCATCACCCTCCCTGCAAGCACTCTTGCCCCCCCACATTCATCTCCCCTCGAACTGGCGCCTCCCCTTTTCCAGCTCTCCTTCCCCCTACCCTCCTTAACATCATCGCAAACCTCGCCCTTCTTCTCCTCCACCTCCTCTATCTCTCCTCCACCTCTTTTCTCTCCTCCACCTCTTTTCTCTCCTCCACCTCTTTTCTCTCCTCCTCCTCACCCCTCCTTGTACTCTTCGCCCTCATTGTCCTCCCCCCCGTCCTCCCTGTCCTCCCCCCGTCCCCTTCCCTTCTCCCACAGTCTTTCTCCACCTCACACTCTCCTCTATAACCCCCTCTCTCATCCAACTCTCCCCTTCACTTCCATTGCTTCTTTCTCTTCGTCCTGCCAGTGTTTTATCTGCCCCTCATCCTCCCCTTTGTCCTTCCCTCCCTCCTCCCCCATACCCTCCTCCCCTTTTTCCCCTCCTCGCCCTGCATCCCACCACCTGTCTCCATCTCACATGCCTCCTCACAGCCTCCTCTCTCTTTCACTCCTCCCTTCACTTCCACTGCTTCTTTCTCTTGCACCTGCCTGTGCCTTGTCACTGATGCTGCAGGTGTTTTTGAGAATTCTCAAAAACTCCACTTCACTTCCGCTGCTTCTTTCTCTTGCACCTGCCTGTGCCTTGTCAGTTTTTTTCCCTCCCCCTTGCCCTCCCCTTCCTCCTCCTTCCCCTTGCCCTCCTCACCCTCTTCCCCCTCCTCCCCACCGGCTTTCCCCATCTCCCACTCCTCCGCCATAGCCTCTCCTTTCCCCACTCCCCCCATCCACCTCCAATGCTTCTTCTTTCACCTGCCAATAATTCGTCTGCGCCTCCTTCCCCCCCGCCTTTCTTTTGCTTCTTCCATCTCCTCCCCCCATCCCTCCCTCCTCCCCCCTCCTCCCCCTCCTCTCCTTCCTCTCCCCCTTCCCCCCCCTTTCCTCCTGATCCTGTCTCCGCCAATCTTCATCCTACATTTCTCCCTCTGCTTCTCTCTCCTCTTCCTCTCCTCCCTTACCACTCCCCTCTCCACCTCCTCTCCCCCTTGCCCTTCCTCCCTATTCCTACCTCTGCACCTTCATTGCTCTCTTCATCCGTCTCCCATCTCGCTTTCTCTCACCTCCCCTTCCTCCTCTTCCTCCTCTTCCTCCTCTCCTTCATCTTCCCCCACTTCACCCTCCTCCTCCTCTTCATCCTCCGCCTCCTCTCCGATCTCCATCCCCCTCTTCCAATCTCTACCCCCTCCTCCAATTCCTCCTCCCCTTCCTCTCCCATTTCCTGCTCTTCCTCCTCCCCTTCCACCCCCCCCTCCTCCTCTCGGCTCTTACCCTTCATCCAACTCCCCTCAATTCCTATCCCTCCCTCTCCCCCACCCCCACCACCCACCTCCACTGGCTCCTCTTTACCTTTCCACCATCCCCACTTCCTCGCACCACTCCCCTCCCTCCTCATTTTCCTTCTCCCTTTGCTCCGCTCTATCCGCTATCCCTCATCGATTCGCCTCTGCTCCTCCTAACACTCCCACTCCCACATCACCCAACTCCAGTGGTTCTTCTTTAACGCTCCCACCCCCACTTCCTCGCACCATGCGTTTTGGCCCTCCTCCTTTCCACTCTTCCCACTCCCCCAAGCACACACAGAGCAGTGACACTTGCACCGGTAGCAATCCTAACACTTGCACCGACAACACTTGCACCGACAACACTTGCACCGACAACACTTGCACCGCAGCACACGCATTCACCTTATCGCCTCCCCACTACAACGTCTTAAGCGCATCTGAGCCAAATTTGACTTGGTTGCAGCTAATACAACAACACCAGCAGCAGCTCCCAATGTGCTAGCGCCCAGGATCACCTGACTTTTTAGGCGCCTCATGAACTGACTTGGTTGCAGCTGATACAACAACACCAGCAGCAGCACCACCCAATGTGCTCGCGCCAGGATCACCTGCTCTGGTTACGACCTGCATAACAGCACCACCACCACTACCATTTGACGTGGTTACCACATGCGCAACATCACTCCTCCCTCCCTCCTCCCCTAGCTCCACTGCCTCCTCCTTCACACGCACAGCCCTCCCTTCCCCTCTTGGACCCATTGAAGCTTCACCCCCAGATGCCTTTTGAGTCACCACGGCACCTGCGCCACTGTTGAGAACTCTCAAACCTGACACACGAACAGCCCTCCCTTCTTCCAGCTGCATCCATCGAACCCACACCCCAAGATGACTTTTCAACCCCAATCGCACCTGTGTCACTTCCGAGAACTCTCAAACCTGACACACGAACAGCCCTCCCTTCTCCAGCTGCACCCAAGGAAGCAACACCCCCAGATGTCTTTTGAACCGCCACCGCACCTGCAATCCCCAGTGCCCCCAGCCCCGTTCGTCCAGCCTCCAAACGCTGCTCCAGAGCAGGGATGGCCCTGGTGGGAGAGCTGGCCCTAACCGGCACACCTCTCTACACCCTTCCCTCTCTGCGTGCTTCTGCCACTGCCATCAGCGCTGGCAGGGCAGGCCCCTGGCTGGCCCACTCTGTGCCCCCAGGCCCGTCCGTCCTCCCAGGCCATCCTCCAAACGCTGCTCCACAGCAGGGATGGCCCTGGTGGGAGCACTCTCTATGCTCTTCGCTTTTTGCGTGCTGCTGCCGCTGCAATCTGCGCCTGCACCACGCAGTGTTTCCAGCCCCGTTCCTCCCACCGCAACGCCCCCTTTGCCAGGACTGGTAGGACTGATTCGCACACCCTGCACACCCTTCCCTCTCTGGTGCTTCTGCCACTGCCATCAGCGCTAACAGGGCAGGCCCTGGCAGGCCCCACTCTCTACGCTCTTCCCTCTCTGCGTGCTGCTGCCACTGCCATCACCGCCTGCACTCCCCACTGCTCCCAGCCCCATTCGTGCCACCACCAAATGCGGCTCCCTGCCAGGGCTGGCCCTGGCAGGCGCACTCTCCACACTCTTCCCCCTCTGCGTGCTGCTGCCCTGCCATCACCGCCCGCACTCCCCAGTGCTTCCAGCCCCGTTCGTCCCACCTTCAAACGCTGCTCCCTGGCAGGGGCTGGCCCTGGCAGGCGCACTCTCCACACTCTTCCCCCTCTGCGTGCTGCTGCCCCTGCCATCACCGCCCGCACTCCCCAGTGCTTCCAGCCCCGTTCGTCCCACCTTCAAACGCTGCTCCCTGGCAGGGCTGGCCCTGGCCGGGGCACTCTCTACACTCTTCCCGCTCTGCATGCTGCTGCCGAGGCGGAGATCCGAGCCTGAACCCAGAGCACACCCAGCCCTGTACTGTCACCCGCTTTTCTCCATTCCATTCTCTCCAACACCCATCCCTGTGCGGGGATTCAGCTTTGCCTCCTGCCTTGCAGCAGTTGGTGTGACAGCAACAGCCTTGCCCTTCCTCCACCAGCGCCCACATCCGCTTTTCCATCCAACTTCCCATTCGTCCTCCCAAGCCCCTTCTCTTTTCCTCCTCATGACATTGATCAGCCTCCTCCTTTTCTGTTTCACGTAGACCTGGGTCTTTTTTCACCCTCACTTCAGGAGAACCCCCAGTTCCACATCTTCCTTCCCAATTCTGCTTTTCTTTCCCTCCTCGTGTTGAACAGCAACCGCTTCAAATCCATCCGGATCTCTTTTCACCCCCACAGGAACCCCATCGTCCTCCTCCACCTCCCTCCTTTTTTCCTCGTCCTCCTCCTCTTCCTCCTCCTCTTACCCCACCTCCCCCTCTTCCACTTCCTCTCCCTCCTCTATGTGCCTCCTCTCCCACCTCCCCCTCCTCCACTTCGTCTCCCCCTCCTCCCTCTCCTCCCCCCTCCTCTCCCTCCTCCACTTCAACATATTCCTCTACAACTATCACGTCTTCACTCGATGACTCCTCCCCTCCCTCCCCCCTCCACCTATACCATCCGCTACCCCTTCCTCTTCAGGCTCCGCTTTCACTGTCTACATTCCACGTGTATTTTGAGCCACTGCCATCGTTCCACGTGTATCTTGACTCACTGCCACCGTTCACACGAGTAATTTGAGTCGACTCAAAACTCACCCCTTCCTCCTCAGGCTCCGCTTTCACTGTCATCATTCCCTTTCCTGGTTTTCCTCCTGCCATATCCTGTCACGTTGTAATCCTTGAGTTGAGTCGCCTCAGAAACCCTCCTCCTCAGGCTTCGCTTTCACCGTCACCATTTCCTCTTGCGATACTCCTCGAACCATCTGCTGTTACGGTTGTAGCCTTCACCATCTGCTGTAACAGTGTAACCTTCGCTTTCCCGTAACGCCTGAAGCGCTTTGTCTTCTAATCTGTGGCTGTCACACCGTCGGGTCAACTCCTATAGTCTATTTACACGCTCATTGAACCGTTTAGTGGCCAGTTACCCACGACCACCACAATCGCCAGTCCACTATTCGCCTGTCGTGTCTGTAACTTCTACAGCCCGACTAAAAAAAATCCTTCGGTCTCTTGTCACACCTAACTAGCCACTAGGGTGTGCAGCGTGCTCTGAGTGTGACACACGAAACACAACTCTCATCTCTGTTACGACCTTCACCACCGCCTTCAACGCGGATGTTACAACCGCAGTCAGTCTCCGGTAGGGTTACGTTAACGTCTCAAGCTACCAGTCAAGGTTAGCTCTTGCTGGTTAATTAAAGGTTCTTATGCTCGAGACTCGTCTAAACATCTCGCACGCCAGCTCGATCAAGATACCTGATTCTTAACTCGCCGGCAGGATTACAGTCGCCTGATATACTAAGTCACCTTTCCCGGAAACGGACGATTCAAAACTGCGAAGTAACTGCTCGAATTCGGGTTTGCCTCGTGCAGTAATACCGTGCTGTCCGCTTTACAGAACACAACTTAAAGCTAATAAAAGCTCTCTGCTACGCGAACGACCTATTCCTGCACTAGGCTTTCGGAGCTAGCTAAAAGGCAACGACTGAGTAGCGTGTTTAGGCCTCAAGCCTAGAGCTCACTGACAGGCGACAGAACAAAGTGACTCTGACAGCGCCAACTGCGCTTCAACTGTGACTGACAATTGATGTCAGGCCGCCTTTTGAGGGGCTGAGGTATCAACCAGGCCTGGGTACTGTTCTCGTTTGTAACAAGTTCGATTGTGTTTACATGGACGTTCGTAAACAGGGGTATTTTCGACCTTGCTTTCTCACCGAGGAACTTGGTTTGTTAAAGCCCCGAGTACAGCATGGTATTTTTCAAGCTCAAGATTCTTGAACTTGAAGTCGTAAAAAACAGAGGTTACCCTCTTTTGGTTTGAAAGAACTCTCGCGACCCAGGGAAAACTTAGTGCGACGGTCACTTCTGATTGGTATCTGTGCCCAGTCGCACAACACATCCGAACATCGCCTACCATGTTGATGTGGTCACCTCTCACATAACTTGACGACCAAGTGGTACTCCTAATCCACTAGAGTAGGCACGTAACTAAGAAACGCGCGACAGGGCGATAACAGCTAGTTTAGGTAGAAGCGTTTTTTTTCCTTCCCAGTCATCTCGTCACTCCCGCTGTCTTGCCAATTAGCTGAGGAGCACCCGCTTCTTGCCAAACACGCTATTACCGTACCATTTTTGCATGCCAGCGACGGGGACACCCGTTCTAGTGCACCACAGTCATGGGTCGGCTAAGGCTGCTGGTTACCCTCCAATACAACGCCCGTAATGCATTGGCCAGCATAGCATGGCCGCCCAACAAAAACTTGGC